TCCTTCTCAACATGATGCGGAACATGGTATCTTGGCTATTAGTGCATCCGCTTGGTATATGGTAGTGTATGCACTTATTGGCAATATCCTAGGTAGATGCGGCTGATTATGATGAGCTTGCGGCAGCAGAAGCTGGCTCACCTGCCTCTTCAATGCCAGCCTGCCCAGCATCCACTGTGCCACCAAGGGCACCACCTCCAAAGCCTCCAGCGCCTCCACCGATGGAGCCTCAAATGACAGCCCCTTGCAATGCATGGAGGTCCAACAGTGCTGCCTCCACAAATGACAGGGCCTCAGATGACAGCCCCAATGCCGCCGATGGGACCTCAGATGACAGCTCCAACGCCGTCGCCTCCACCAATGATGATGCCCCAGATGACATCCCCAATGCCTGCAGCTCCAATGGTGCCTCCCCCAATGACGACGCCTGGGATGTTTCCACCAATGCCTCCACCACCTATGATGCCTGCAGGGAATGTGAGGCCTCCATCAGTGATAGGCCCATATGTGCTTGACCCGGCCCTCCTTGCACAGATGGCATCTGGGCTTAATTTGTTTGCGCTTGTCTAAATGATGCATGTGTGCGTTTCATGTGTGGCTGTTTCATGTCTGCGTGTTTGGTCAGTGACTTGAGGTGCAACAAATGAATCAGCAGCAAGATGATCAGGTGACTTGGTTGGCTTGCATGTTCAAACAAGTCATGCCATTTGAAGTGATTGAGGCGCAGTACATGGAACCAACACCGCCAATGGGGATGCCAAAAGGGCCGAACATGGATGCAAACAAGGTGCCTTAATTTAGAAGTTCATTCAGCATGTGTGGCAGTTCATTGCACATTTGTCGCAGTTCCAGCATGTGTGAATGCAAATGAGGTGCCTCAACCACCAATGGGGCCACAGGTGCCACAGCAACAGCAGCATCAGGGGCCACAGCAACAGCAGCATCAGGGTTATCACCAACAGGGACAGCAGCATGTGACTTGGTTATATATGCGCACGCATGCTTCAATCTTGTGCAATGGTGATTGTTTGAAGTAAGCTGAGGTACCGCATGCAGCACCAAATATGGTGAATTCCAATGATCCAACTCATGTACCCTAGCATGTGTGGCAGTTCGAGTGGTCATGCATGAAATGTACATGATTATACATCTGATCTGAGGTGGATGTGCCAGAATGGGCAAAGCAGTGGGAGAAGAAGAATGACCCGAAACACCCCACAGGACATCCTGTGCTTTGGCTTAAATAACGCTTGATTTCACACACATGTGTCAAAAACATTGCCTGGAAGCTTCAGGCAAAGGTGACCGAGCTGTCAGCGGACAATGATGCTTTCTTGATTCAAGCGCGTGAGATCCTTCAGAAGTTCCAAGAGCGGGAGATTAATCGCAAAAAGGGTAACTTTTCCCAAGTGGAGGTGGTGGATGATGAGTCAAAAAGGTCACCGGCACCAAAAAGTGATCCACCACCAAAGCTGCCTGTGCGTGGTAGTGCTGCAGCTATAGTGAAGCAGAAACTGCAAAAGCCTCCTGATCCACGATCTGTTGTCAAGCCGAAGGCGATGCCCCAACAACCGCCTGCACAGAAGGGGAAGGCCCGTGCCACTCCTGCTGATGCAGTGCCACCGCCAGATGCAGCTGTCAGTGGCCTGAAGCGCAAGAATCAGCGTGAGCCCTCAGTTCCACGGAAGATGACCAAGAAGTGAGGGGCTGGCTGTACATGTTGCCATTTTGGCACGCAGGCATGACGCCTGGAGCCTTGATTTCAATTTCCATACAGCTGAACTGTGCACCTCTCTGTGAGCAACAAAGGGTGAATGTCATGAGATGTCCTGAGTGTTTCTGCAACCTCTTGCGCCATGCAAATTTAGTATGTGCATGTGTACAGTCATGAGTGGAGGTGTACGATCTGTTGGAGTTCTTTGCTGGATGTGGAGCGCTCACGGATGAAGCTCGATGCAGCGGCTACCGCACGGCCAGTGTGGACATCAAGTATGTTCCTGGTGGTGCTATGGATTGCAATGCTCCTGCTGGCTTTGCGTTTCTTGTCACCTTGTTTTTGCAAGATGTGTTGCGTAGGCATTCTGACTGCGCTGGACTTAGGCTGCATGTGGCTACAATACTTCGTTCCCGCATTGATGCACCAAGTCTGGCATGGTTTGGCATACTATGCTCCTCGTGGGTTGCAACATCTCGTGGCTCTACTTTCAGAACTTGGCTAGTTCCTGAGGGTGTTTCAGGGCCTGCAGTGGATGAGGGCAATTGCATGGCAGCCAGGCAGGGGGCTAAGCTTGGATGGTTGGGCCTTTGCAGGCCCTGCCTGTGGGCCTTTGCCGGCCTGGTATATTGTTGGATGGTTGGGCCATGGCAGGGCCTTCGCAGGCCCTGCCTGTGGGCCTTTGCTGGCCTGGTTTGTTGGCCTGCAGAGTGCATTGCGCATTGTCTGTTGCAGGTGCAGCTTCTTCTTCCTGCTGATCCATGCCCTTGGAGGGGTTTGGGCTCTTGAGCAACCACGTTCCTCGCTGCTGATGCAATATGGGCGTATGCGAGATGTAGCTGCCACGATTCAGGTCTATGATGTTGCCTTTTGGATGGCAGGTTTTGGTGCCAAAACACCCAAGAGGTCAATGTTGTGGTCAAACAGCATTGGCTGCATGCATTTTCAGACACCAAAGCTCTCTATGAAAAAGGCCAAGTTGCTGAAGGATGTGGACTTTGGAGAGCCGGTGATGAAATATGTCCACAAGGGCAAGAAATGCTGGAAGGGAACGCGCTGGCTTACAGCAACTGGGATCCTGAGTTGCATTAATTAAATTTACAATATTTGGTGATCAAATTGAGCTGAACACCATATCAGGATCTACACTCGCCTTTTTGGGAAGCACATTGTGGAGGTGTTCAAAAGGAACCACATGAAGCCACCTGTGAGTGACTTTCCCTTGAAGGCTTCCATGCAGGAGGCGCAGGAAGCCTTCGAACAAGAGAGTTTTGATGATTTGGTTGCAGATGGGCGCCTGATAGAGGTGATTAGATACCTGCGGTCCTTGAAAGGGCTGAAGATTCCGGAGTCTTGGAGGCCACTGGTGCCCACCAAACTCTGAGAGGACAGGCTGGTGTGATGGAAAATGGCTTTGAGTGAGCTCACTGGAGCATTTTTGTCAGTTTTTTTTGCATTTTTGATGTTTTTGCTGATTTTGTGTGATTTTTAACATCGTATACGACCGTATACGACCGTATTTTTGGAAACGACCGTATATTTTTCGAACCACGACCGTATATTTCTGGAAACGACCGTATATTGTTCGAACCACGACCGTATTTTTTTGAAACGACCGTATATTTTTCATATACGACCGTATATTCTTCAAGTTGTTAGCGTATACAGACCGTATGCAAACCGTATGCAAACCGTATGCAAACCGTATAAATACGTATAAATACGTATACGGGGAGCATGGTTCAGAGCCACTTGATGGCTATAGCTTTTTGTGCTCAATTCTTGGGTTTGGGTGATCACCATGGAAGCAAAATCGATGACCCTGGAGAGTGACTTGGCCCATGGGTTGCCAAAATAGGGTATTGAACTTTATGTGGATTGTTTTTCTAAGGCCAATGCAGGTCAGGTTCGACCCTCATTGGTGGACTGGCAAGGTTGGAATCACGTGTCAAGGCGCATGGCATGCATGCATGTTGATACTTGCCATGAACAGCCTGAGCAGGTAGAGATTCCAGAGACGGATGAGGGTTTATCAAACTATGTCCAGGACATCATACTTTAAATCAGTCTCACATGTGCCTGAGAAGGCACATGTGTGCCCGAGAGGGCAGAACCAATGTCTGGCAAACCTGCACCTGATGTTTTTACAATCATGTTTGCAGGACCTGAAAGCGCACATTGAGAAGAAGTCCAAAAACCCAGAGCTATCGCCAGACAACCAGCTTGGTCTGGACAACCTGAATGGTTTACCTACTCCGCGACAGCTCTTTCCAGACCATGGTGAGGCACATACACCAAAAATTGCATATTTATATATTTGGCATGTGCACAGGCTGCAAAGGGCACAACGACCCCTATAGACCTGGATGCGGACACCCTTGAATTGAAGGACGCATTGCGTGTACAAACCCCTTTGAACTTACTGATCCACATAAAATGGAAATGGTCATGTGAATGTGAAGGACTTCTTTGGCAGCCAAATGAGCACAGAATGGTGGGAAAGCCAGAGTGCCAACAAGACCCATGAACCTGACACTGAAGAGGCAACTTGTTTCCAGCAGCATAGCCATGCAGCCATTAATTGGTATATGCAGTACATGTGATTTTTTGTGAGCTGAGGCAAGTGTTATGGATGATGCCTATACTCTCATTGGTGAGTCTGAGGGTGGGTGCTCGAGCAATCCATTTGATCAGCCTCCTCCTCCAGGTCAATGCATGATTCAGTTCAATCAAGGTGGCCTGCAGGTGTCTTGGCAAAGTTGCTATGGTTTCTGAATGGATTGGTTGCTGGGATGGCTGCATGCATGTGTGTTTGTGTATGAGGTAGTGCGGCATAAACAGGATGGTGGGAATGGTGAAGGCCTGGCAGAAACAAATGGCAACAGCCAGAAGGAGGATGAGGAGGGTGATGCCAAGGGCAATGGCGCACAAGCTGGAGCCCCTAAGCGTTACCGAACAGATGATGAAAAGGCATGGAACAGGGCAGCGAGCAGCCTCAACAGATTTTGCGCGCGGAGACTTCGTTGAAGCTTGGGGGGGCAGGGTCACAAGTGAGGGTGTTGGTTATCATTGACTAGCTTGCACTTTTGGGCCCTAGGAAATCAGATGGGAGCATGAAGTGCCCACCGGACATCCATGAGCAATACATGCAGAAAGGGTCGAAGCGAGAGGAACTTGTGAAGATGATGATGGAAGCGGACTGCAACAAGGATGTTAGAGTTCTTGCTTGTGAGGTTCATTCATGTTTGGAGTGTTGCAAGAGGTCATGTTCATGAATGTATGCATCCCCTTTTGCACAGGAACGTTTTCTGCAAGCTATGGAGTCGAAAAGGGTGTCAGAGCATTTCAAGAACTTGCAAACAGAAGGGGGCTACTACTCGGAAGCAGACATGCAAAAGCCAGTGAGTGAGGGTGGCCTCTCCATGAGTGCGAACTAAGCTTAGAAGATTTGTGTGCATGTGTGTACATGTGGGGGCAAGGGTTTGGATTCTAAGGAGCTTTGCCAAGAAGGTTGTGGAATATTGTGAGAAAGAAGGTGGAGACTTGATCCGGTGGCTTCACTGCATTCAGGATCATGGTCATTACCTTGAGGCTTTCGCAAGCCTAAGGGCTTTGGGAAGCCCAGGTCTTTTGGGCTTTGAGCAGCCCGAGGGATTTGGGAAGCCCATGGGCTTTGAGAAGCCCATGGGCTTTGGACACCCTCAACCCTCATGTCCTTGGGGCATTCACATGTCCAAACTGTATGTGTATTGTTTCACATGTTTTTTTCATGTCATTGAGGTACAACAAATACGATGCTGATCTGAAGGAGTACTGGGTGGACTACAGGACGAGTGGGATCAAAGGATCACGTCAGTCTGATGCCCTGACAACTTCCATTCATGGGGAAGGCACTGCAAGTTCAGCCGATGTGCATGGCGCCATGAACATGGACCTCCCGTTTGGAGATGTGGCATTGTTGAATCATGGTCCTCAGCATCCCAAGGAGGCGAGTGTAGTCTTGCTTGTCATGTATGTATGCATGGTTGAAAGCCTTGAAGCAGGTAGACTTGAAGAAGATCATGAATGAATGCCTGGGGGCAACAGAACGACTCACCAGGTTCATTGGCAAGCTGGATCACTCGGATCCAAAAATGACAACGTCTTGAGCTTAGAAAGTGTTGCTGCAGGTACAGTTGACATGTTCGTGATGACTGAGGGAAATTGAGCGAATGAAGAAGGTGAATTCGGAGCTCTCCACCATCTATGATGAGCTGGCATTTTTGCAGGCTTCAGCAAAGATCACTGACCCTGCTGGGTGGCTTGCTGACAACAAAGAATGCAACCATGAATTTGTGCATGTGATTGCGCAGCTGTGTAAGGTCGAACCAAAAGACTGAGGAGAAGGTGGCTGGACTGATGAAGAGACTCAGGAAGGAGTGGGCAACTGAGATGATGTGCAATGGTGTGCTCATGGATGGGTTTGTTGTATTGCTGTGAGCCAAGGGCAGCCCTGGCCATTTCGTTTGAAGCCAAGAATAGGAGCATGTGAATGCACGCATGTTGCATTCAGTGCCTTCACAGGCACTTGGGCCTGGCTTGCAGGAAGATGGTTGTGAAGGTGGAGAAGAAAGATGATAGTAATCAGCCAGCCAAACGGGCTAAGACTGGTGAGGCCAAGCCGAAGACCAAGGCCAAGGCAAAACCTGAGCAGACAGCTGAAGAGCCTGAGCCGCCTAAGAAAAGGCACAGGGGAAAGTCCGCTGCCTAGTAGCTCAAAATTTGATGCCAGAGGGGAACCTCTAGGTGTGTGAATGCACACACGATGGTTCGCGCTTTTACCTTAAGCAATGTGGTGGGGTGACAAGTTTCCCTTGCTGCCAAGTGTGGCTTGTGACTTACATGTTGGGCCCACGCATGGATCGAGCAACTAAAGAGTACATGCTCCCAGTGGGACATGCCAGGTTTGAAGCAGACCAACTCGAGGAAGACTAGGTTCTTTGCCCGCCAGTTGGCCAAAGGGGTGTGGCGCTTGGCACTCGCTGCTTGTGGAATGCAACTGGGTGAGCAGGTGTGCAACTTCCCTCTGCTTGAGAGGTTCCTGCGTCAAGCATTGTGGAGTGTGCGCAGATAGATGCAGAAGATGGGATTGCTGATTGTGATGCGCAGGATTGGGGCCCGGTTGTATAAGTTTGGTGGCCGCATCGTGTATGTTCAAGGTCGCTGGGACCAGTTGCCTAAAGCGAGAGCATGGGACCTGTCTGTGTAATTGAGGGCCTGCGAAGGCCCTCACCTGTGTGCACCACCTGTGTTTGCAGGACCTGGCAAAAGGGTCAATAAGAGATGCAGAAGAACATGTGCACAAAGTCATGGGTGACTGCAAGAAGGCCACTTTACAGGCCAAGATATCATTTCTGCAGACGCTTGGAGAACAAGAGTTGTTTCATTTTTTGTGCATGATTGTCAATGCTCTTTGGCACTGGCACCCAAAGAGTGGGAAAGTCCAAGTGTCAGGTTGGGTGTGTCAAAGAAGCTCATGAACTACCCGGCCATAGAGCCCATGGATGTTGTTGCAGCTTTGGCCCAACATGGCCATTTTGAAGCTGCCCTTGGGGTGACCCTGAAGAGGTGTGCCTTGGATTAATGAGACCGTTTGGGTGTCGTTGGTCACTGCGTGTGAGACATGGGTTTTGGGCAACTGCAGGCCGTGAAGATTTGGCCCTTTTTTGGAAGTGGTTCCAACAGGTCTTCCCCAACCATGATGTTTCGGAAGATCTTCGACAGGGTGTCGTTGATGCAAGCAGCCTTGTGCCGGTACAGCTCCATGGAGATGGAGGTCGACACTTCAAAAGAACAGAGGTGATGATCCTTCAATGGCAGCCAGTGTTGGGAGGAGGAACAAAAAAGGCTTTGCCACGTAGAGTTGGGTTGGCCATCAACTACCGTGGCAACACCTGGGGAACCCGGTTCCTTTTCAGTGTCCTTCCACGCGCAATGTACAGTGGTACACCCCAGCCGTTGAACCGACTGTTCAGAGCTTTTGGAATCTTGTTTGCATGTGCGCTGTGGTTTGTTGCGATTGTTTTAATAATGTTGATACCGTTAAAATTATGAACTGAGGAAATGGCATGAAGCGACTCTATGAGGAGGGCTATAACTATGGGGGGCTGAAGTTCAAGTTTGCCACCATTGGGATGAAAGGTGACGTGGTCAGCAGGTTCAAATCCCATAGTATGGCAATGCAGGAGAGTTGGCTTGTCTAGGTGATCTACCGTATCAAGTCAAAGCAGCTGGATTTGTGCGCTCATTCAGTCATGTACGCAAAGCGCCTGAAGCTGTTCACTCAACGGAATTGGCTGGATGCTGTTGGTTGACTGTCAGCATTGATCAATAGTAGTGCGTGCACGCATGGGTCTTGTGCAGAATGCTGACATTGAGGCTGTGCATGGCTGGCACAAGGGATCATCCTTTTGAGGACCTGAGCAACACAGTGGCTTGGACGCAGCTAGGCAAAATCCCGCAAAATTTTTTTGATGAATGGACATGACTTCAAGGCGAGCTGGATCAATACTATCGGTGACCAAGGGAAACTTCCATACATGAGGACACCTGCGTTGCTTGAGTGCTGCTTGAGTGATCGCTCGCACCCGGCAAGTTTTTTTCAAACTGGATTTGTTTCATGTTTGCTGCGCAGGGATTTTGAAAGACTTTGTTGGCTCATGTTTGACTGTTTTACTGGAATTGTTTGACGAACCCAACTTGCCGGAGAGAGCTGCCAAAATGAATGAAGTGCTCAAGACCTTTTGCAAGAACCAGAGGCACACGTTTCATGCAAATCAGCTGAACCTATCCTTGTTGGGGTACTCTGTCAAAGACTATGTCTCTGGATCATGGAGCAAAGGGCAGGACAGTATTGTCCTTCTCCGTTTTGTGGTGTGGCTGTGTGGGAACTATCCTGCAAATGACATTGAGCAGCATGACCTGATCAAAGTGGCTGCAGAGGTTTTCTGCAGATTTTGGGATTTGCTGCACGCATCTGGGGTTTGGATCTATGGTCAGGACGCCATGGATTGTGTGGTCAAAGGCCAAGCCTTTTGCACAGCATACCAAAGGCTGGCTGTGTGGGCGTTTGACAGTGAAAGGTTTTTGTTCAACATGGTCCCCAAATGTCATTGTTTTCATCATGTGGTTGTTGTGATGAGAATGCAGCTCTTAGCGCATGGGGTTGTTTGGAATCCATTAAATGATTCCACGCCCCAAGATGAAGATTTCGTTGGCCACACGGCCAGGGTTACACGTCGAGTCAGCAGCCGAGCCACTGCACTGAGGACACTTCAGCGGTGGAAGCTGGGGGTTTTGCCAGCATTGCAAAGCAATGCAGCTTCAAACAAAGAGCTTTGCTAAAAAAAAAACTTGAGCGATCCTGAGTGTATGTGCTCGCAATAGGTTTCTGAACTCTATTTGCACAAGTTTGAGCCAGTGTGGGCTTTCACAAGCCCATGCACGTGCTTTGACAATCCCCGCGCATGCATTGGCTTTCATAAGGTTCCCATGGTTCCCATGTATGGGCGTTCACAATGCCCGTGCATGCATGGGCTTTCACAAGGTTCCCATGGTTCCCATGTATGGG